TATAAATGAAAAGGTCATGCATGTAGATACAGGGATTTACTGAGCAGGTAGCACAGATAGAGGAAAGGGAAGTAAGATATGTTAGTGATGTTATTTGGGTTATTGTTGTTAGCCGATATGAAAGAGAGGCAGTTTTAGATTTTTTCGAGATTTTTACTATTTTACAAAAATATTTTAAATATTCACATACTGTATATGTAATTTAGTAGAGTGTTACAGTATTAGCCTAAATTTAGTAAACACGTTGGCAAATATGCTGTGTTTGTGTGCACTAACATTTCAGTGACATTTGTATCTAAAATAAATGTATGCATCTATCCATCTAAGAGAATATATAAAATCAACAATACTATGTTTTAACGCTGTACGTCTTGAATTTACAGAATATGTGACTTGGTGTCCCAAACGTTTAAGGTTGTATTGAAAGATAGCAAAACTGATTTGGCTACTACAAGTGAAAATTGCATGGCATAGCTCTGCAGAGATCAGGTTAAACATTGCATATACAATTTTAACCTCCTTGGCGGTATGATTCTTTCCGATTTTTTGTGCTGAAAGCGGTACCATTTTTTTGCATGGAAATATGTAGTTTTTTATTGTAGGCTGTAATTTTTAGGAATAACTCACTGAAATCTGTCCGAACAAGAGTCTAGTAAACATTCCGGATATGATAGAATTTGAAACACGAAATCATAAATTATAATTTAATAAATAATCATAAAAAAATAATAATATAATAATAATAAATTTAATTCAATAATATAATCAAACCAAAAACACTGACATTTGAAATACAGAGGCAAATTCGCACATCGCTGAGCAAAGTCGCAAAATTGTTTTCAGTGTCTGATGATGAATTTCCCCACGAATCATTATCACTCAATTCTGCAAGTGGTTCTGATTTACTATCGCTGTTCTAAAACCGCTTTTGACGTAAAGGGACGCTTTTTGGACGCCATGGACTTTTCTCAGTTTCCAGGCAGAAAGAACATTCAAAATGCAGGCAGGGCACAGGACAAAGCAGTAGGGACAAAATGTATGTGAAATGCATTGAAATAGCAATGACAGCAAAAATTACATTTTTTTAAAAATTCAAATTTCCCGCCGGTTCCGGTGCCCATACGTCCCGACTAGAGATGAGCGAATCGAACCAGGCGAACCGGAATTCGATACGAATTTCAGGAAAAATTCGATTCGCGTCGAATCCGAATATTTGCCTACTTCGGGTGCACGAATCGGATTTTTCCCGATCAGCCGGCAAAAGTGTCCCTGCAGAGAGCTCCGCTATTTCTAACATTTCTCTGACAGTTCCTTCACATGTACAGCGGTTGAAACATTGTATCTATTAGTTTCCATTTAGGATACAGATATTTCAACCGCGCTGTACATGTGAAGAAGCTGTCAGAGAACTGTGAGAAATAGAGGAACTCTGCACATACACTTTTTGCCGGTTTGGAATTCTTATTTTCATCCTACTTCTTCTTCTTCTTCTTCTTCATCCTCATCCTCAGAAGAAGAAGAAGAGGATGAGGATGAGGATGAAGAAAGAGAAGAAGAAGAAGAAGTAGGATGAAAATAAGAAGAATTCCAAGCCGGCAAAAAGTGTATCTGCAGAGCTCCTCTATTCTGCAGATACACTTAGAGGAGCTCTGCAGATACACTTAGAGGAGCTCTGCAGATACACTTTTTGCCAGCTTGGAATTAATCTTATTTTCATCCTACTTCTTCATCCTCATCCTCATCCTCAGAAGAAGAGGATGAGGATGAAGAAGAAGAATAAGAAGAAGTAGGATAAGAATAATTCCAAGCCAGCAAAAAGTGTATCTGCAGAGCTCCTCTAAGTGTATCTGCAGAGCTCCTCTAAGTGTATCTGCAGAATAGAGGAGCTCTGCAGATACACTGCAGAGGAGCTCTGCAGATACACTTCTTCTTCTTCCTCTTCATCCTCATCCTCATCCTCTTCTTCTTCTTCTGAGGATGAGGATGAAGAAGAAGAAGAAGAAGTAGGATGAAAATAAGAATAATTCCAAGCCGGCAAAAAGTGTATCTGCAGAGCTCCTCTATTCTGCAGATACACTTAGAGAAGCTCTGCAGATACACTTAGAGGAGCTCTGCAGATACACTTTTTGCCGGCTTGGAATTAATCTTATTTTCATCCTACTTCTTCTTCTTCTTCTTCATCCTCATCCTTATCCTCAGAAGAAGAAGAAGAGGATGAGGATGAAGAAGAAGAAGAAGTAGGATGAAAATAAGAATAATTCCAAGCCGGCAAAAAGTGTATCTGCAGAGCTCCTCTATTCTGCAGATACACTTAGAGGAGCTCTGCAGATACACTTTTTGCCGGCTTGGAATTAATCTTATTTTCATCCTACTTCTTCTTCTTCTTCTTCATCCTCATCCTCAGAAGAAGAAGAAGAGGATGAGGATGAAGAAGAAGAAGAAGTAGGATGAAAATAAGAATAATTCCAAGCCGGCAAAAAGTGTATCTGCAGAGCTCCTCTATTCTGCAGATACACTTAGAGGAGCTCTGCAGATACACTTAGAGGAGCTCTGCAGATACACTTTTTGCCGGCTTGGAATTAATCTTATTTTCATCCTACTTCTTCTTCTTCTTCATCCTCATCCTCATCCTCAGAAGAAGAAGAGGATGAGGATGAGGATGAAGAAGAAGAAGTAGGATGAAAATAAGAATAATTCCAAGCCGGCAAAAAGTGTATCTGCAGAGCTCCTCTATTCTGCAGATACACTTAGAGGAGCTCTGCAGATACACTTAGAGGAGCTCTGCAGATACACTTTTTGCCGGCTTGGAATTAATCTTATTTTCATCCTACTTCTTCTTCTTCTTCTTCATCCTCATCCTCATCCTCAGAAGAAGAAGAGGATGAGGATGAGGATGAAGAAGAAGAAGAAGAAGTAGGATGAAAATAAGAATAATTCCAAGCCGGCAAAAAGTGTATCTGCAGAGCTCCTCTATTCTGCAGATACACTTAGAGGAGCTCTGCAGATACACTTTTTGCCGGCTTGGAATTATTCTTATTTTCATCCTACTTCTTCTTCTTCTTCTTCTTCTTCATCCTCATCCTCATCCTCAGAAGAAGAAGAAGAGGATGAGGATGAAGAAGAAGAAGAAGAAGAAGTAGGATGAAAATAAGAATAATTCCAAGCCGGCAAAAAGTGTATCTGCAGAGCTCCTCTAAGTGTATCTGCAGAGCTCCGCTATTTCTGACAGTTCTGGGACATTCACTCCATACAGCGGTTGAAACATTGTATCTATTTGTTTCCATAAATGGATCCATTTATGGAAACAAATAGATACAATGTTTCAATCGCTGTATGGAGTGAATGTCCCAGAACTGTCAGAAATAGCCTATTTCTGACAGTTCTGTGACATTCACTCCATACAGCGGTTGAAACCGCTGTATGGAGTGAATGTCACAGAACTGTCAGAAATAGACAGAAACTGTCACAGAACTGTCCTTCTTCTCATCCTTCTCCTTCTTCTCATCCTTCTTCTCATCCTTCTCCTTCTTCTCATCCTTCTCCTTCTTCTCATCCTTCTCCTTCTTCTCATCCTTCTTCTTCTCATCCTTCTCCTTCTTCTCATCCTTCTCCTTCTCCTTCTTCTCATCCTTCTTCTTCTTCTCATCCTTCTCCTTCTTCTCATCCTTCTCCTTCTCCTTCTTCTCATCCTTCTCCTTCTTCTCATCCTTCTCCTTCTTCTCATCCTTCTCCTTCTTCTCATCCTTCTCCTTCTTCTCATCCTTCTTCTCATCCTTCTCCTTCTTCTCATCCTTCTCCTTCTCCTTCTTCTCATCCTTCTCCTTCTTCTCATCCTTCTTCTCATCCTTCTCCTTCTTCTCATCCTTCTTCTCATCCTTCTCCTTCTTCTCATCCTTCTCCTTCTTCTCATCCTTCTCCTTCTCCTTCTTCTCATCCTTCTCCTTCTTCTCATCCTTCTCCTTCTCCTTCTTCTCATCCTTCTCCTTCTCCTTCTTCTCATCCTTCTCCTTCTCCTTCTTCTCATCCTTCTCCTTCTCCATCTTCTCATCCTTCTCCTTCTCCTTCTTCTCATCCTTCTCCTTCTCCTTCTTCTCATCCTTCTCCTTCTTCTCATCCTTCTCCTTCTCCTTCTTCTCATCCTTCTCCTTCTTCTCATCCTTCTCCTTCTCCTTCTTCTCATCCTTCTCCTTCTCCTTCCTCATCTCCAAGGGCATTTAAATTAAAGGTACAGTGTTCTGCACTAATTTAAAGGCTCTCTGAAGCCTAGAAACCCTTTTTATAAGTTAACTTCGTAGCGAATTAATTCGCATCGAATCGAATTTCTTCCTGAAATTCGGCGAATCAGCCGAATCGAATTTTTGAATAATTCGCTCATCTCTAGTCCCGACGTCACAGGGACCGGAACACAGAAGCCGGATGCCGGCATCGGCCAGAGGAGATGGCCGGGGACGCTGGAGGGGACAGATCGCAGGAGCGAAGGACAAGGTAAGTGCTGCAGGCACCCCCAGAGAATGCCGCATGGTAAGCCCGAGTGTAGCTTGGGGTTACCGCTTTTGGTATAGAAATTTTACCCCGAGCTACACTCGGGAACACCGCTAAGGAGGTTAAGGAGGGGGGGGGAGGTTTACTAAAACACGCACACAGAATTTGGTGCAGCTCTTCATAAATACTTCCAGGTTTTAGCCCCAGTTCACACTGATGTGGTGCAAGAAACGCGGTGATTGCTGTGTATTTCCTGCACAATTGCACTGTGTTCTGCGATCTTCTGCAGGTATGAATGGAAAGTTAATGACACTCCAAAGGCAGTTCCCAAATGCAGTGTGTTTGCCTGAACCAGATCGCATGGGTTTAAACACCCATGTGATCTGGTTCCAGTGCGAATTAAAAAAAGCTGCTTTCTCCTTTTTGATCCAAAATGAATGGGCTCACATTGCACCGCACAGAATAACATGTAATGCAGTGCATTGCCTGTGCGATTCACATGCGGTTAACAGTGTGAACCAGGGGCGGACTGACCATTTGGAAACTCAGGCACTGCCCGAGGGCCCAGGGTCAGTAGGGGGCCCCATGAGATGCCCTTGGTACCTTTTTCATAGGCTTTTTTTAAGTTTGGGCAAGGACACAGAGGCCCCATGATCCCCTATTGCCCGGGGGCCCCATGATTTGTCAGTCCGCCCCTGGTGTGAACCTAAACTTATTGTCAAAGCTTAACTGAACAAGCTGAAGTTAGAAACTGATTGGTTACTACGCACAGCTGCACCAGATTCTGAGTGCTCCAATTTTAGTAAATCTCCCCCTAAGTGTATTAGTTATTTGTTCCAAAGTAAAAAAGAAATACCATAGTATAAGAATTCACACTCATTAGTGTAGTGCCATATTAAAGTGACTATAAAGGTGTTTTTTTTTAATTAAAAAAATTAAAGGTTTACACTTAACTGAATGGTTGAAAAACTAGTAACAGGGTGTATGCATTCTTTGTTGAACACCATGGAAGAATCTACTGATTTTATCTTTTACTTCTGCTTCTAGTAACAGTTAATCTTTATGCTTTTATGGCAGTGCAAAGGAAAGTTCAGTTTGCTGACTGTAAAATAAACCAAATGAGTAAACAACTTAGATCCGGTTAGGGTGCAGTGATCCGAAAAAAAAAAAAAAAAAAAACGCCTGCAGCCTTAAGGCAACACTTGTCATTATGAAAAACCTTGCATCCACACAATACTCTGTTCAATGTACTGTACTGCATGTGCGTGATGAACATTATACATGGAAATGTACCATACATCTCTTACTGTTATAGCTGACATGTACAATGCTGTACGTGACATCACCAATCATGAAGTTTAATGGAGACTAATGTACCTGCTGGTTGCTGTGTGGGATAATACCTGTATTTACTTTCTGCAACGACCATATCTGCAAAGATGATGCACCACGTAAAATGTACAATAAAGACACATCATTATTTGCATTATGGTAATAGAATGTTACAAAGTGTTTGGCAAAACACATTTTTCTTTTTTACATGAATGTGTCATGTTATTTGTGTCAGCATGTGCAAATAATAATTTACGTTTTAATTTGTTTTATCCATTATACAGAAAAACAACAGGAACCGTTCAAGCTAACGCGATGGGGAAGTATGCTGGTTAAATGCTTTGTAAACAGTTACGTCTTAACCACTTCAACCTCTAGCCTATTCTGACACTTCCCTACTACATGTCAAAAATCAGCATTTTTTGCTAAAAGAAAATACTTAGAACCCCCAAACATTACATATTTTTTTAACCAGAGGCCCTATAGAATAAAATGGTGGGTGTTGCAATATTTTATGTCACACAGCATTTGCAAAGAGGTGTTCTCAACTCAATTTTTTTTTTTTTTAAATACAGTTTAATGATTTTTAATGCACAAAAACACAATATAATATTCAATTGTTTGGTAAAATATAAAAGATGATGTTATGGAGGTGCTCAGCTATGAGGAAAGATTAGAGGAACTGCATTTATTCTCTCTTGAGAAGAGGAGATTAAGGGGGGATATGATCAACATGTATAAATACATCAGTGGGTCATATAGTGAACTCCGAAGTAGAACTATTCACCCGGAGGTCATCACAGAGGACAAGGGAGGAATTGTTTTCCCTGCAGGAGCAAATTGGATCGTGCTTTGCTGAGTTTTTTTTTCCTTCCTCTGGATCAACTGTGGGTATAGGATTATAACTTTTTTTTTTTTAATGGTTGAACTGGATGGACTTTTGTCTTTTTTCAGCTAGACTAACTATATAACTATGATGGCAGTTCAAATCAATGTGACTCAAGTCACTATGACTTTTGAAAAGGTTCCCATACTACCTTGATGCATCTATGCGACCTGAGTCTTATAGACTCTAATGTCAGATGAAAGTTGAAAGCAAGTCACACTGGAAATTGCATGACATTGGGGTGACAGCAGTGTGAACAGAGCCTACCTGAACTACATTTAGTCCTAAAGCACAATGTATCACTAACTTTTTTTTTTTGCAAATCCTATTCTCACTTTTTTTTATCCCTGTTATCTCAGTGCTGCTGATCTCTTCCATCCTCTTTCAGCCACTTTCTATTTCAATGTACTCCTGTTTAATTATTATACAGGATTTATGTTTAATAATAGTCTCTAACAAGAGGGGGATTGAATTTGAAAGAAACCCACAGACAAGAGATTGTTGCTCAGTCTGGCTAAAAGCCTCATCCCATAACTATGAAATTTAGACTGGCCATAGATGGGACCAGGGGCGGAATGACCATTCGAGCACTCGGTCACTGCCCGAGGGCCCGGGATCAGTAGGGGGCCCCATGAAATGCCCCTGGTACCTTTTTATAGACTTTTTTGAGTGTGGGCAAGGACACAAGGGCCCCATAATCCCCTATTGCCCGGGGGCCCCATGTGTTGTCAGTCCGCCCCTGGATGGGACAATGATTTATCTCAACTAAACAAGACGCAGATGATTATGGAAATCATAAAACACTCAAAATTGCAGTCATAATTAAAAAAGTATACCTTTTGTTTCTGAAAATAATTTTTTTTGTTCTGGTTGCATGTGCTTGTGATGTAGTGGATTTTACATAGTTGTTACAATTAGAGTGCCCACCACTGTGCATAAATGCACACTCAAAAGACATGCTAGTAGGTTAATTGTCTCTTGTCTAAATTGGCCCTAGTATGAATGTAAGTTTAATTATTTCAGGTACTTATATAGCGCCATCAATTTACACAGCGCTTTACATATATATATTATACACTCACTTCAGTCCCTAACCCTCAAGGGGCATACAATCTAAGGTCCCTAACCTACATCCATACATACACATACTAGGGCCAATTTAGACAGGAGCCATTTAACCTACCAGCATGTCTTTGGGTGTGGGAGGAAACTGGAGTACCCAGAGGAAACCCACGCATGCACAGGGAGAACATGCAAACTCCAGGCAGGTGGTGCCGTGGGTGGGATTCGAACCAACAACCCTAGTACTGGCCAGACGGAAGTGCTAACTATTTAGCCACGTTGGAAACTTTAGATTATGTGCAGGGCATGAATTCTAGAAATATTGCATTGTAGAATTATTATTATTATACAGGATTTATATAGTGCCAACAGTTTGCTCAGCGCTTTACAATATAACGGGAGACAATACAGCAACAATACTGTTCAATACAAGAGGGATAGGAGGGCCCTGCTCCTTGGAGCTTACAATATAAGAGGTATATATCTATATATTATTATTATACAGGATTTATATAGTGCCAACAGTTTGCTCAGCACTTTACAATATAACGGGAGACAATACAGCAACAATACAGTTCAATACAAGAGGGATAGGAGGGCCCTGCTCCTTGGAGCTTACAATCTAAGAGAGGATAGAAGTTTAAGTAAAACTATAGGCAAAACCTTTTTATTTATTTTGGATACAGCAAGGGAGGGATATAACCCCCATCAGATTTTTCTTCTCCATCTGTGCCCAATGAGGAGATTTCCCTTCACTTTCTGTACCATAGCCGAAAATCCCTGAAAATAAAGAGAATCGCTTGGGGACTGCAGGTCACCAGAACTAGCATCCTCATTGGAAGATTTCCTCTCTATTGCTTTTCTAGGAACAACCCCAAACTTGGGATTTATTTTTTACTTTCACTTTCAATGGTAGTGCACATCAGTGAAGAAGTGTTAGCGCACATCAGTGAAGAAGAAAAATCACTTATTTACAAAATTTTATAACAAAAACTAAGAAAAAAACATTTTTTCCCCAAAATTTTCAGTGGTTTTTGGTTTGTTTAAGAAAAAATAAAAAACCCAGAGGTGATTAAATACCAGCAAAATAAAGCTCTATCTGTCACAGTAAAATGATAAAAATTTCATATGGGTACAGTGTTGCACGACCACGCAATTGTGATTCAAAGTGTGACAGCGCTGAAAGCTGGCCTGGGCAGGAAGGGGGTATAAGTGCAAGTGGTTAAAGGTGGCATAGCCAGCAATAGAAACCTACAAACGTTTTAATCCCTCTGCACTCTATCCAAAACTAAAAAAAAAGTTTTTCCCTTAGTTTAGTTATACTTTAAAGTAATATGTACACTATGTCAGCCTACCCTCTGCTTCAGTTACCCCGCCTTTATGGAGCTGCTCTTAAAATATGGTTGCCAACTATAATTTTGTACTAAAAAAAGTTTTTCTTTGTATCTTTCTTTTACGTTACAAGTACAAAGCAATCAAATGTTATGATTTTTAGCTCTACATTCTGAAATGACAAATAAAATGTCATTGATGATGTCAGATCACAAATGTCATCAGTGACGGTGTCATATGAACCAGTTTTTAACATTGTATTATGATCTGATGTAGAAGTGGTAAGCATCCTAAACTGCAATAAAAACTTTTACGTAACGCCATCTGTGCAAGTACAAATCATAATGTATAAGACTAAGGATAAAAAAGAACTAGGATAGCATGTGACCTGACATTTGCTTACTCTGCAGATAACAATGCATGCTTTATTATAGTGAAAACTATTTACAGAAACCACAATATGGTATTGCCACAAATACTTTCATGTGTTTTCATCAAGTGTCTTGAACCCAAAATGTATTTGCTATAAAGGCTTTTACTTATCCTCACGCCCACCCCAAAAATAACACAAGCTTCACCTATGTGGGGAAGGAAAAGGTCACAGCTTTACTGATAAAAAATACATTTACAATTTACTATTTGATAGTTAATTTCAACCATTTTAAAATGGCCCAATGCACCCCGTACATAGAAAATGATTATTAAACTCTAGAACAAGAGACAAGACCTGCCTAAACAAAGTCAGCTATGACAAACCTATAGTACTCCTCTTGCCCTGTAGCTTTTCAAAAGAACTAGATTACTTCCATAATAGCCTCTTGTTAGCAGGGCTTTTTTTTAGTGGGAACATGGGGGAGCGCAGTTCTGGCACCTCCAGCACTGAATGGATATAATTCAAAGGATTCTGGGGTGTGCTGGAGGGTCTATTGAGGCTGGTTACTGGGGGATCAGTTGTTTCTGTTTGGGATCTATTTTTGCATGGGTTTCTATTGTTGCTGGGTAAGTCTATTGTTACTAGGGGGTAATGTTTTTGCTGGGAGAGATATTCTGTTGATGGAGAGGTCTATTGTTGCTGGCTGCTGGGGTTTTGTTGTGGGACATCCTTTGTTGCTCGGGGGAGTCTATTATTGTGTGTGGGGGGGTCTATTGTTAACAGGGGGCATCTACAATCACAGCAGATCACATGGTACCGGAAGCGGCCCAGTACACTGATCTGTCAAGCACTGTATGTGGACACAGTGGGTGACAGATCACGCTGGAGGGCCACATTGTTGGGTGTGTGAGCCTGGCTACACGTTACAGAGCATGCATGCTCCTTCCTCAGGCCTGTGCCCTGGACTGATGTCACTCACACCCCTGCACTGGTGGTGAGCTCCAAACTGGATTGCAGTACTCTTCTGCCACAATACCCATACAAAGACACAGCGATGGCTGCCTGGTGCAGAGTGGGGTCCTGGGACCAGTACAACAGTAGTGGTTATCCTTTGGATAAGTGAGTTTCAGTCTTTAACATGTGATTTGCCAATTTATGAGACTACTCAAAATTGTTGGTTTGCTGCATATAGATGGTGCTTCTTTTTTTCTGCTTGCATTCTGTTTCTAGAGCTGACTTCTAACTCTTGGATAGCAGCCACAAATTTGAAGCAGACCATAGGAGTGTTTTCCTTGGACTCCACATTGTACCTTAATTGGACTTTCAAGTTGTGTTGTACAAAGGATAAGCCCTATGATTTTAATCCTTTGTGCACCATAAATACCCCTTTATTTGAGCAAGTCAGATAATGGCTGCCTCATTTTCTGGCTGGAGGATGTCTAGTATCATCTAGCTCTTTCCTCCCCAGCCTTATTTTTTCTTGGCCTGCCATTTTCATTCTTTGGATTTTAGTTTAAGTCATAGAGGCTTAGTGTCACATGTTGGCATTACCCAGTGCTGTCTCCATGTAAATGCAGTCAATTTTCTAATGCAGCAGTATTGGCTGCAGTGAATTTCCTGTTGCAATAAATCAGATCTGTTGCCCCATACTTTTCCAATAAATTCCATTGGTCGTTTAGCCCAGCACAGGGAGGTAGCCAAGAAAGTGTTTGCACAAGCATTTTTTGTACTTTCATATTACTTGTGGGATATTTACACAGAAAAATATCAAGGTGTGTGTTTTTGTTTTAAAACAGGACTGTTATTTAAAAAAAAAACCCCAAAAAACTACTGTTTGCCTACAAAAGCACTCTCTGCCCTGAAGACCCAGCCAGCCTAATTATATTTGTCCATCTGCCAGCCCAAGTCTACAATATATTGCCAAAAGTATTAGGACACCTGCCTTTACACACACACATGAACTTTAATGGCATCCCAGTCTTAGTCAGTAGGGTTCAATATTGAGTTGGCCCACCCTTTGCAGCTTCAACTCTTCTGGGAAGGCTCTCCACAAGGTTTTGGAGTGTGTCTATGGGAATGTTTGACCATTCTTCCAGAAGGTCATTTGTGAGGTCAGGCACTGCTGTCAGACCAGAAGGACTGGCTCTCAGTCTCCACTCTAATTCATCCCAAATGTTGAGGTCTATTGGGTCGAGGTCAGGATTAAGTTCCTCCACCACAAACTCGCTCATCCATGTCTTTATGGACTTTGCTTTGTGCATTGGTGCGCAGTCATGTTGGAACAGGAAGGGGCCATTCCAAACTATCCCCACAAAGTTGGGAGCATGAAATTGTCCACAATGTTTTGGTATGCTGACGCCATAAGAGTTCCCATCACTGGAACTAAGGGGCCAAGCTCAACCCCTGAAAAACAACCCCACACCATAATCCCCCTCCACCAAACTTACAAGAAATAATGACCCCCTTTGGGACTTCAATGCAGCTGACATGACATCACACATGTAGTCATAAAAACATTTTTCTATATACTTTATTGTACAAAATTATTATTAAAAAATACAATACAGCTTAGAATCATACTAATGGCTCTGATAGCTGTTCCAAAAATATAATCCCTTATAGGGTTACAACAGGGGCAGGAAAACCAAAGAGATCTCTAAATAAGCACATTTCAGGTTAATAACAAATCATATGTAATGTCATTAATAACAATCAAATATTCTCCATTTTCATACTTACAAAACAGCATTTGAACAGCTGATGTCTATCAAAGCAATCTTAAAAAACAAAATAAGATTGCATGATCCAACATTCGATGGTATGAGCAATCAGGTGGACAAGAGGTCACGTGCATCTCATAATATTGGCGGCAGACAGGGAAGAACAGACCACCCTCCCATATCCTTCTATAAAATCATCATATAACAAAACATAGATATTAGAGACAAGGCATCTTGAACTAACAACAAATTGTAAACCAGTCAATAGGTAGAAATCTGACCGTATATGTGATGGAACCCATAGCCACAAAGAGCTTAAGTATTCC